AACTAAGTGAATGTGTATATACCAAGAAGATTCGTAGTTTGGTGTGTATATACTAAGATTGTTGATATGATTCTTGACAGCCTTTTGTCATGGCATGGAGGGGTGTCAGCACACGAACTGATGAGACACGTTGCTGAGGATTGCAGATTACGGCATGATCAGCCACGCCAGTCGGCAAGGCACTTGATGATAACGATAAGGACATGTATATATAACAGTTGAATCCCACGTTTACAGGCAGTGACCTTTTACATTGCAAATCGATTATTAGATTTGTTGAGGGCACCTGACGCTTTTATTGTTCAATATGCAACTAATTTTGTTAATGAAGTTTAAAAATTGAAGTCTCGCTATCGGGCATACAGGTTTTAGAGATCAAAACTACTGACTGCACGTCTCTTCTTCTTTACGTCCTCTTCTCCCACTCCAGGTGTCGAGGGAGATATAAGGTTCTGCTTCGTGCTCTTCTGGCTGCCTTGACCACAAACACGTCGTGGTGTGGTTTTTCAGATGTTATCTTCCCATCAATTTGGAACAACTTAGATCAAGCGTCACAAATTGATTTTATACTAGTCAGACAACGGCAGAAGAGGACGGTAAGAGACTCAAAAGCTGTCCCAAATGCGGGACTGGATTCAGACCATCGCCCAGTAGTTATGAACATATGCAACTCAAGTAGAAACAGTCTACATAAACAGAAACGTGAAGAAATCATCAACACTAAGAAATTAGAGGAAGAGAATATCAAACATGAATTTGAACTAGAAATAACAAAGGCTTTTGCAGATATTGCCAAGGAACCAGTAAGAATTGAAGAAGAATGGGATTATTATAAATCAACCATCACGAAGATATTAAAAGACAAGTGTGGTACCAGAAAGACGGGCAAAGGCAAGAAAAAGGGTACCGCTTGGTGGAATGAAGAAGTTAAAAGAAGCAGTGTCAAATAAAAAGAAGATGTTTCAAATATGGTTAAAAACAAAAGACGAAAAGGATTACATTAGGTACAGACTAACTCGAAGAGACACCAAGAGAACAATAAAGAAATCCAAAGAGGAATCATGGAAAAAGTATGGTGAACACCTAACACAGCTATGTACAGAATCACCAAGAGACTTTTATAAGAGTGTGAAAGCGATGCGATTAAGAGAAGAAAGCTTCAATCCAACATCAGTCATAAACGATAAAAATGGAAAACCATTATTCAGCCAAAAAGAAATTAAAAAAAGATGGGAGGAATATTTTAAAGAACTTTTGAACCCGTCGGGAGTACATGAAACAGCAGAATTCCATTCAAGGGCTCCAGATCATCTAGAACCACATATCCTGCGGGATGAAGTAGAGACAGTTATCAAAACAAGTAAAAGACACAAAGCAGCTGGTATCGACGGAATAACAACAGAAGTCATCCAGGCTGGAGGAGACACTATGATCACCTGGCTGGAGAGAATTTTCAATAGAGCATGGGCAGAGAGAAAGGTACCAGTGGATTGGCAAAGATCAGTTGTAGTACCTATCTGGAAGAAAAAAGGAAACAAGAGAGAATGTGGAACTTATAGAGGAATATCTTTACTAAGTCATGTGGGGAAAATGTATGCAAAGATCTTAGAAGGTAGGATAAGAGCAAAGGTTGAACCTCTACTGAGTAAAGCACAATTCGGTTTCAGGAAAGGGCGAGGTTGCACTGATGCCATATTTGCACTAAGACAAGTCTGTGAAAAGACACTCGAATACGATAAAGAGCTGAACGTGGTCTTTGTAGATCAAGAGAAGGCATTCGACCGTGTAGACAGAGATGTGCTGTGGAGAATTCTTGACGATTACGGAGTGCAGGGTCAATTATTAGACAACATCAGAGCCCTCTATGAAAAAAGTGAAAGTGCAGTAAGAACATCTAGTGGTCTTTCTGAATGGTTCAAAGTCACAACTGGTGTCAGGCAAGGATGTGTACTGTCACCATTACTTTTCATAACATACATGGATAAGATCACTGTAGAAGCAAACCCAGACGTGTATGCTATAAACGAATTACTTTTTGCTGATGATCAAAGCATACTGTATCAAAATGAATATGATCTACAGGAACATCTGACTACTCTCAACAACAGCTGTTTACAACATAATATGAGAATCAGTACAGAAAAAACAGAAGTTATGAAGATCAGCAGAACACACAGGCCACTGAATATAAATGTTGGAAGTGCCAAAATCAAGCAAACCAAAGAGTTCAAATACTTGGGCAGTATATTTACAGAGGATGGAAGAATGGACAGAGAGATAGAAACAAGAATACAGAAAGCAAATGCTGTCACATACCAACTATCACCTCTGCTTAAACATCCAGATATAACCATGAAGACCAAAAGACAATTGATAAACACCATCTTCATTCCAACACTCTGCTACCAGTGCCAGACATGGACAATCAACAAGACCCATGAAAGAAAAATAGAAGTCTGTGAAATGAAATGTCTAAGAAAAGCAGCGAATAAGACCAGACTAGACAGGATAAAGAATATAGACATTAGAAACACTGTCAAAACTACACCATGTTTAGACTACATAGAACATCAAAGAATGAAATGGTTTGGACATCTAACCAGGATGAAAAACGATCAAATAACATCACAAATTTTCAACCAAAGAAGCTCAGGATATAAGGCAAGAGGAAGACCAAGGAAACTGTGGATTGACGGGGTCTCCGAAACCTGCCAAAAGCATGGCCTCAGAACATCAGATGCTGCCCGCCTTGCTTATGACAGGAACTTGCATCTCCCCACAACGCTTAGCGGCATACGTGGAAGGAAAAAGTAAAAGTAAGTAAAGTAAGTATCTTCCCATCTTGTTCTTGGTCTAACCCTTGATCTACGTGCCTCTCCTCTTTTGGTATATGCATTGTAAGGTTTAGCATCAGAAGGCATTTTCTCCAGGTTAACAAACTATTTGAATTTGCTGTCTTTGTATGTAAATTACAAGTTTTTAGAATTGATTCTGTGCCGAATCTATATCGTATAACTCCATTCCTGATTTTATCAGTTCTGGTAACTTCTATAGTCTTTCTCAGACTTCTAATTTCCATTGTTACATTACTAATTTTGTTTTAACACTACACAGTCTAAAAAGGGAACTCGCTGAGCTGTCAAAAAAGACAGAAACTCACCTTTACAACTCTCTTCGGCACTAAAAGCAATGAATACGCTGCCAAGGCAGTGAATAGGCAGTACCAAGCAACAAATCTGTCAGTCGCTCCTTTCCAGGAATCAAAACCCTCATGAATAAAAAAAAAATAAAAAAAATCAGAAACAGATTGGAAAATTAACACTGGTAAATTGATTTCCTTAAACACCTCAGTAGAACAGATCAAGTCTCGCAAAAAAAGTTCCTTTACAACAGTGGGGAAAAAGGTGGAGCGGGGAAAGGTGGGGAAAAAAAGGCTGGGGTGGGGTGTCATGACGAAGTTTGAATAGGGGAGTGGGGCCGTCAGGCAAGTTTAAAATAGAATTCATCTGTACTAGTAATAATCCGGATGTTTAGCTTTAATAGTCATAAAAGCGTTGCTAGCTTGACGTGGAGAGTGATATCCGTTGTGCCGTGTCCGAAATCAGACCACATAGCATATATCGTCAAGGCAAAACAGCGTCAGTCATCACATTGATACATCGACACTAAGTTACCAGTTGTTAATGATTGTTTGTTTCTTTTGTTTTAGCATCAGAAATTCAGCTGAATTATGGGGATATTTTTCTCCAAGTTCTGAAAAAAACTTTTGTTCCACTGCTTTACAATTTCAGATACATAAAATGGTTGTTTGATATAGTTATTATCACACCTGATTTCTTTACTTCCGACAACATTTCCGGATACCCAGTTTAGACTGAAAGATCTGGGAACCGGTTTGTCAGCTTCTCAAATCCCCAATACGTCATGCTGAGAACAGTTATTCTAGATACCGACGGCTGGGAAACGACGGCTATAAAACAGCCTTGTGAAATATTGTCAAATGAAACGGACATTCGAGACAGCGGCGAGATCCGAAAATAGCCACCCGCGATTTGTCCAGTGTCCTTTCAATTTTAGCGGTGACAGCACAAATAAAATCTGTAAGGGTTTTATGTAGAACATCTTTTGTTTTCTTAAAGACTGTAATTTAGATGGATGTCGTGGGTTTCGTGTGGCTTAATCAGATGAATTCTGTGAGAATAGAAAAAAATCTCTGCTGTCAAGGGAATATACATTTTCTTTTATTCTCTTGGTGAAAATGTTCTTGTCCTCTTGTGCAACTCTGTCTGGCTCTTATTCTCACTTGTCGTTTCTTCTATTGTCACAGAATTCTCAGTAAATATAGATATTACTTCTGTGAATGTGTAGATGTAGGCCATACGTTGTCAGGCAGTTATTCTGTTATTGTTTTCCTGAGTGATCTCGCAAAGTGGCAGGCCAGAAGCTCATGTATGTTTGCATCACGTTTATTAAGCTATTTGTCTTAACATCGTCATCTCCCTGTGGGATGCAATTTTTCTTTATTTTGAAGCACCATTCTGGCTCTTGCTAGGGGCCGTAATATAGCTAACGGCTGAACGCGGTTTCCGGGACCTCTCCACGGCTGATCCTCATCCGCATGGTGGCACTTGGTATCATCGGGTGTTTATCGCTCTGTGTGATGTCCTGGTGGGGTAAAATGTACTACTACTACATCATGTTTAGGGATATTTCGACAGCCATCAGAACTCGTCCAAATTAGTTGTATGTACCTGTCCGACTGACCGTGTTGTTTATGTCAGTAGATGTTTGTCGGCGTCTGTGGCTTATGTGTTACGAACGCGCTTTGTAATGCCGGGGTGCCGTATTCTTCTCTCTCTCTCTTTCTTTCTCTTTCTTTCTTTCTTGTTGATCTTTACACATCGAACTTTTGTATGCCCGCGTGCTTTCATGAATCTTCTCCATGCTCATATCCGATTACCTACACTGACAGTTTCACTACCTGCTCCTTCTGTTTGCAGCTTCCACAACCATAACGTTTCGAGGCTACGAGTGGATAGCCTATCAGTTGTACTCCAAACCGGGGGAACGCCTCTTCAGTGACCACAACCGAATATCAGTCGAGTTTAAGGTAACTGCTGCCGTTTGAAGCTGTGCATATTGTTTGTATTTTATGTTGTTGTTGTTGTAAATATTATTATTAACTATACAACAACGACCGCTTGGAAGTATTCTGTGAAATATTATGCAATGCTTTGAAACCCCAAACGCTTCTAACAGTGTAATTGGTATGGGAGTTCTTCTGCTTCTTATGCTATAATATACTATGCTATGCTATGTTATACTATGCTATGCTATGTTATGCTATGCTATGCTATGCTATGCTTTGCTATGCTATGCTATGCTATTCTATGCTATGCTAGACTATTCTATACTATACTATGCTATGATATGCTTTGCCATGCTATACTATACTATACAATACTTACTATACTTCACTAAACTATACTATGCTACACTGTACTAAACTATACTACAGCCCATGTCGTATCACACTATTCGTCATGTCTTTCCATACCCTTACCTCTCTAATTTCAATCATTGCTGACACAAAGTTTTCACATGCCATGATCCAAGACTGTGTGGGAGATATATTTACGCTAAACTACAAGAAGGAACATGACTAAAATAAGTAGCTGGATCATGTTCTAGAAACAAAAACAAAAAAGGAAATAAACTGATCCTAGAAAACAGCAGGCTTGTCCTTTGCGACATTGCTATCAACACAGTTAATTCTTTGTGGGTTTCATAGAACTATTGGGACAAGGAGGAGGGGGGGGGGAGGGTGTGGAATGAACTCACTTTTATTCATCAACCATGTCGTAAAAGGCGACTTATTAAGGGGGCTTTGCTGAAATTGAATGTGGTGGATCGAGAGATCACAGCCTAACTGTAAATCGCAGTACACAAATTCAAGAAAACTATGCTTGAAGAAGCCCTGAAGATATTGGCAGAAACCAGACTGGTAATGATCAGAGAGTAATTTTACAAGATCGTTATCTGTGCAAAATAAAGCATACATTCATATCAGAACTGTTAGACTATAAAATCAATATAAGTTCAAAGGTTGAAAAAAACGAGGAATGATAAATCATAGTAGGATGTATGGCTACCACAGTAACCTGTGATGATAAAAACATCTTGTGTATATAAAACAAATTGGGGCAAAAACTAATGATGGAAATCGTGTTGTGTTGTCAGATATTTTTCCTGAATCGCTCTTTTTCATCCAAAATGTCATATGGTTAAAGAAAAAGAATAAAAAAAATAATAAGAAGAAAAAGAAGAAGGAGGAGAAAAAGAAGAAGAAGAAGAAGAAGATGAAGAAGAAGAAGAAGAAGAAGAAGAAGAAGGAGGATAGTAATGACTGGAGAAAAAGATAGAGACTGAGAGAAAAGGGGAAAGTATGAGAGAAGGAGACAGAGAAAAAAATAAGAGAAAGGCTGAGAGAAAAGAGTGGTAGAGAGAGCGAGAGAGAAAGAGAGAGAGAGAGAGAAAGAGAGAGAGCGAGAGGGAGAGAGAGAGAGAGAGACCAACAGCACGGGCAAGAAAGAAAAAGAAAGAAAGAAAAGAGCGCCGGGGGTGGGGCGGGGGGGGGGGGGGCTGTGAATGGGAACATGTCGTTAACTGAATAAACTGCTTTTGTGTGACGCAGACAGACCGTGGCTCTGGAGTGTTGCTGTACGCTGTTGGAGGCACCCCATACCACAACCACATTACAGTCTCCATCTATTCAGGCGCCATCCACGCCTCCGTCTCATTCGAGCAGGACGACCTGACATTTTCTGAGGGCATCGGGCTGGACGATGGACGGTGAGATTTTCATGATTTCCAGACTAAAATATTACAGTGAATTACTTTAACAAATTTCGTAATCGAATTTCTGATTCTCTGGCTACCGTAGCTACGGAAAAACTCGTACACAAAAGCGATAGCTATACGGGAACACTCGTACCGTACAAGGGAGACATTCTGAAGACCATAAATGAACGAATGTTGACAGAGGACACGAAATTTGATGAAATAGCATGTGCAAGAATGTGTGAACGAGGAATTGGGAGTGGATCCGGCAAGGACGGGCGTGTGAGAGGAAGAGAATTATCTGTGTATAATTAGTGTGCTACAGGAACAGATCGCATCTACACCTCAAGACATTTGCTGTGAGAGACACAGCATCTATGGGTATGACCAGCGTGCTCTGGTGTGTCAATTCATAAATCAGTAATAGAAACAGCCATTTAGGCAAGTCACATTCCTGCAGCTTGGCTAAACTTTTAGCCAGCTCGCAAATTCTGGAAGTCCTACATTTAAGCTAAACCTTTAACAGATTCACAAGTTCTGGAAGTCTACTAGTTACGCTAAACCTTTAAAAAGATTCACAAGTTCTGGAAGTCTCCCAGTTACGCTAAACCTTTAACAGATTCACAAGTTCTAGAAGTCTACTAGTTAAGCTAAACCTTTAACATATTCACAAGTTCTGGAATCTACCAGTTACGCTATACCTGTAACATATTCACAAGTTCTGGAATCTACCAGTTGCGCTAACCCTTTAACAGATTCACAAGTTCTGGAATCTACCAGTTACGCTGAACCTTTAACTTATTCACAAGTTCTGGAGTCTACCAGTTACGCTAAACCTTTAACAGATTCACAATTTCTGGAAGTCTACCAGTTAGGATAAACTTTTATCTTTATAACAAGTTCTGGCAGTATTCCAGCTAAATTTTTTACCAGTTCACAATATCTTTTGACCAGTTTGCAAATTCCAGAAATCTCCCAGTTACGCTAACCTGTGCACTATAACACGATCCACTTCACAAACTCTATAAGTCTTCCTATTTACGCTAACGTTTGCACTGTCACCCGATCCACAAGTCCTAGAAGTCTCCTAGTTACGCTTAACCTTTTTCTTTTAAAGCACAACTGAATGACCCTCCCCCAAACCGGGTTGTTAAATGATGGTGTTAATCACCGTTGAAACCTCACAAATCTAATTGGGAAAAAAAGGGGGGGGGGGGAGGGGGAGGGGGCATACCGGCAGACGTATTCCAGATAACCATCTTTCAGCCTGTAAATTATGTATAATTAGGGCACATTTTACGGCAACACCGGCCCCGTGCTTGTAAAATACAAATAAAGAAGCATACCCTCACGCAATCGATCGAGATCTCAAGTTCTAGAAGTCTCTTAGTTATTTCAGCTTTTTAGCCAGGTCACAGGTTCTAGGGATCTTGAGGTCACGTTAATCTAGACACGGGAGTTACAATGTTATTGTGACTAACGCCATGACTCCAGCAGTTACTGTACTCACTGATGTCATTTTTAGCATGATTTCATTTGTTTCCTGTTTTGGCAAACTCTCTGTCTGTCTTCTGATCTATTTGTCTCAGTCTAATGTTCTGTCTCTTTCTCTGTGCGTCTCACTCACTCACTCACTCACTCACTCACTCACTCACTCACTCACTCACTCACTCACTCACTCACTCACTCACTCACTCACTCACTCACTCACTCACTCACTCACTCACTCACTCACTCACTCACTCACTCACTCACTCACTCACTCACTCACTCACTCACTCACTCACCCACTCACCCACTCACTCATCCACTCACTCAGTCACTCACTCACTCACACTCTCACACTTGCCATTATTTTTTATAGGTCAGTCGGCATTAGAGGGTTAATGTGCTCAACATCCGTCTTGGCGTTTTTACATCTCCGACCAAATTAGAGCGCATACAGAACGCAGCTATGCGGGTCATTCTGGGTTGCAACAGAGACAACCCAGTGGTGTGTATGCGACACAGCCTTGGTTTGCCTACGGTTGCAGGTAGGCACAAGGTGCTGCAGGTGAAGTCATATCTCAGGGTAGCTGCAGACACAGATCACCCTCTGCATGAAGCTCTGGGTGCAGTTAAGGGTCAGCGGCTGATAAGAGGGAGGTCATGGATGGCTCAGGCAGAAGACACAATCAGACAGGTTTGCATCCTTAAGAACATTAGGCTAGGAGAGAAGTGGGTCAAAGTGCCACCTGAGCAGTCAGACTTGTGTAGAGTCATAATCACGCTGAGTCGGGAATGCAGAGACTGACCAGCAGGTGCCACAGAGATGGAAATTCAGCAATTAATTCAAGATAATGCTCGCTCAGAGGATCTGATCATTTATACAGACGGTTCAGTGTCAAGAGGCAAAAGAAGTGCTTGGGGCTTTTTAGCAAAAGTTAATGGTCGACGTTTGGTGCAGCAGAGCCTAGCATATGATACCACAACATCCAGCTTAAGAATGGAGGTGGAGGCGGTCACTGCAGCTTTCCGCTGGCTAGAGAACACGACACACACACACACACACACACACACACACACACACATCGTGATTGTAACTGATTCAGAAAGCATGCTGAGGAAGATCAGAACAGGCATGCTTCGTGCAGAGTGGCATGCTTCGCTGCGGAGGACACGGGTAAGGAGTATTGTCTGGATTTTTTCACTAGGGCACGCGTGTGTTGGGAAATGAACAGACGAACAGAATGGCTGGCTCTGCACAACTTGTTGGAAGACTGATGCATGCTAAGGCAGATATGGTTAGTGTCTTGTGTGAGAGCGTGTACAATTCTGAGGAGCAGATGGATCACCACAGGCTGGTGAGACTGATGCAGCGGGGAGTGACGAGAGGTTCTGGCAGATGCTCGAGGCTCAGATGAAAGGCAAGACGGACGTTTAATCAGAATGCTACTGGCACCATTAGTATCGGAACTCTTCGCTGGCTGCTGAAGATGGGGACGGAGCGCTTATGGGAATGCCCCGAGTGCTGTGATGTCGGTTCTTGAATCAAATCAAATCAAATCACATCTCCGACCATTTACTTGGTACTCACTTTGGAAAGAGTCTATTTAGGATGTTTCTAAAAAAAACCTGCCGTCTTAACCTTTCTGCAATTTTCCTGGTACATAGTTTTAGATTGGGTCGATCTTGGGGAGATTATCTGTTGAAGGGAGACCTCTGCTGGTGATCGGTAGATTCCTGCTGTGTATACATCCACCGTGAAGTATTTTATACTTAGAGCTCAGCTCAATTGTGAAAATCGGTCTTTGTGGGGATTCGAACCTGCGAACTCTTGGTTGACTACTAAGCTCCAGGGGCTAGCGTAGTGCAGTGCTACCATACAAACGTCAATAAAATGTCGCCCCTGGTTTCGGAACTGCCCTGGCTGCTGAATATGAGGACGAAGCGCTTATGGGAATGTCAGCAGTGCTGACCGTTGATTTTTTACTGATCACAACCACGAACACTTCAATAAGAATTACCACGACTAAAATTATCACGCCGACCCGTCGGTAAAATGTGCGGTTAGGTTCACGTTAATCTCCCCAAATGTTGGGCTGGTCGATTTTCCTGAAGGTTACGGGCGTGTCAGCCCTGTTGTTAGCTTTCTTTGATGTCTTGCATTTACATTTACATTCTGAGAAAGAGAAACTCAGTGACATAGGGGGCCGCACTCTCTAGGGATGTTTTGTTAGGACCGCTTTCTCCGTTTTTTTTAGTGTTAAAAGTGCTGGCGTGCTGAAATATACAAAACGCGACATCAACAGCATTGTGGAACATCCCCGTAACCTTGTGTCTAGGTGATATGTTCAGCAACTAAAAATCAGAAGTGAGCTAGTGTGTATATGGGCTGGGCGTGGGGGAAACCAGCGTTACTTTTACAAAATGTGCGAATCTCTAGATTGTTGCGATCTACAGAATGGAAACCACTGGGCTAACTAAGTGATCGATGCTGTAGCCGCGTGTAATGTTTTCAGCCAGCACAGCTTGGTCAACAGTTATTGATATGATAATTAGAGCAGTACCGCTGAAATGCTTCTGAACAGTTTGTGGTGCTTTCTGTGGGAAGTGGTTATTGAGATTTGCTGGCCTGAGTGATGTGCCAGCGAGTGCTCTGTTTGCCAAAGCTACCAAAAGCTTTTTCTGGTGGAGTACATTACTCGGTGTACCTCCCTGAGTGGGTTCTCGGATTTTTTTTTTGAGGGGGGGGGGGGGGGACAAATAATAGGCACTAACACCCCCCCCCCCTCCCAACTCTTCCCCTCTTTTTTTCCCCTTTTGTTTCTGTTCCCCATTTTATCTGCTCCCCTTTATTTTAAATAAAAAACGCAAACAGCGACTTGTTAACAGTTTGGTGAAATTTGATTTATTTGGCCAAAAGACGCAGATATCGCGCCCTAGCAGTAAACAACACAAAGTGCCAACCGCCATATTATAGGCGAACTAAAGAGAAAGAGAGAGAGAAACAGAGAAAGAGAGCGAGAAAGAAAGAGAGAGAGAGGGGGGGGGGGGGAAGAGAGAGGGAGAGAAAGAGGGGGGAGAAAGATAGAGAGAGCATTCTTGGTGTGCAATTTCATGGCACAATTTCAAAGCATATCATTCATTATTCAAAAAAGTGCCGTCTTTTTCATACGGGTGAGTTATTTATAGTAAGTCTTCAATCATCATAATAACGTGTCTTGCCAACTGGCGTAGGCGTGCGAGCATCTTTACAGATCTCGATCATTGGTGTTCTTGATCAATTCCTCTGATAATAATCCTCCATGCCACTGTCTTAAGCCATCCACCATCTCTTCCCTTGGTCTGTCTGTGCCTCTTCTACCAGTAATTTTTGCTAGCTGTCACGATATTTTTCAGTGCTCCTTTTCTCATCATATGACCGAAGAATTGTGTTTTTTTCCCTTTTAATTATTGAATACAATGTTCTACTTTTTATTAGCCATTTTTTAGGCAATCATTGTTAGTTATTCTAACACTCCAAGGAATTCGCAACATTTTCCCCAAGAATGTCAATTGCCTCCAAACTCTTTTTAATTTGTTTGTTTGCTCACATTCCAAGATTCACTGCCATACATAAGAACAGGCTCTGTGTAACATTTCAGTACTCGTTTTCTGACGCTGAGGGTCACAGACTGAAAAGAGGAAGGTCTTTGGTGGCGCAAGCTTAAGACACAATATGACTTGTGTGCAGGCTTGATAATTTTGAGCGAAGAGAGGAGTTGGTCAAGGTGTCCGAAGAAGTTTCAGATTTGTGTAGGGTTCTAATCACGTTAGGTCATGAGTGCAGAGACTGGCCAGCTTGTGCTGCACAATCAGAAGTTCAGCAAATGATTTATGACGATTCCCTCCCAAGTCATGTGATTATTTATACAAATGGCTCTGTGTTGAGGGACAGACGAAGTGCATGGGGGTTCATAGCGAAGGCGTATGGGCGTCGTCTGGTGCAGTAAAGCCTTGCATATAGTATCACGTCTAGTTTGAGAATGGAGGTGGAGGCAGTCTCTGCTGCCTTCCACTGGATTGTTTGTTTTAGTATCCAGAAGCCATGAGTTGTTAACCCTTAGGCTCGGTATTATGGATATCGCAACCTTTCGGCCTTGATTCCATTGTAAATACCGTAAATCTGGGAAAAAATGTGGCTTTCCTGCCTACCCCCGGGATTGAACCCGGACCACAAGAAGTACGTCACCCGGTCTCCAAATCCGGTTTAGCCAATTCCGCTAGAGAGCCGGGCAATCCACTGGACTGAGAATCAGCAGTACACACATGCCGTGATTGTAACTGACTCACAGAGCATGTTGAGAAAGGTGACAAAAGGCATGCTTCGTGCAGAGTGGCAAGCATCATTTCAAAGGTCCCGGATAGTTAGCATTCTTTGGATATTTTCTCTAAGTAATGGCAGTGAGTTGGGAAGTGAGCAGGCAGATTGACTGGCCCGTTCTGCACCACTTCGTGGTGAACTGATGTATAACAAGTTAGATATTGTGAGGGCCCTTTAGGAGAAAGTGCAGAGGCGCAGACAGATAATAACCGTCTAAAGAGAATGGCGCTGTGAGGAGTTACCAGGAGATCTGGCCGACGCCCAACACTCAGGGAAAGAGTGAGACGGATATACAATCAGACGGTTACTGGTACCATTGGAACTGGAACTCTTCGCTTGCTGCTGAAGATGGGGACTGAGAACTTACGGGAGTGTCCCAAGTGCTGTGATGTCGATTCTTAATTGAACATTCAACATTTGTGTAGGCCTTTTGCGTTTTCAGCTGTCGATACTGTATTTTCTGCATAAGGAAGATTGTTTATACTATAACCAGCAACTAGTATTCCTGGTCTGTCCTTGACGTCCCTCATTTTTATTTCACTATAGAGAGAGAACAGTTCCCGTGACAAAAAACACACATGCTTGTCTCACTCCTTGATTTATATGTTTATAACTACCTCCTTTATTCTTTAGTACTCACTGTTTTCGCTCTGGTTGTACACGCTCTTAGACTGTTAATCATCCATCTATTGATGTTATAGTCACATATGTTTCAGTGTCTACCTTTTGTCTGTGCATTTAACATTTCATTCCAGTCACTCTGGTGTTAGAATGCACGGTTGCCGGTTCTTAAACCAAGCTTCCTAGCTACAGCGGTTCTCACAACCATGATTAAGGACCCTCTTCCACGCCTTCATGCGTATTCGGCATATAGGGCTAGATTTTATAAACCAATCAGCACTTGAAGGGTGATGTTAGCATTACGCCGGCATCTTCACTTCCCGTAACTGTACCCATTAAGCACTCAAGGCTGGGTCGGCCTAGGAGCCATGGTCACTAACAAATATTGGATGATAGCCTATCAAGTTTCAGGAAATACAGAAGCACTGATGACCAAACCTCTTATCGGACTCTTGCTAAAACTAGCACACAGGAGGATACAAAAACATATGTTTGTCTGGATTAGAGACTTTCTTCACAGACGCTGCACGAGAGTCAGACTAAGAGAACACAAGAACAAATTGGTTAGACTTCAAGAAGGTGTTCTCCAGGGAGGTGTTATATCTCCCACCCTGTTTATTATTTTCATCAATGACCTCCCTAAACAATTCGCGACTCACATTCACAAGGCTCTATATGCAGAAAACCTGGCCATACGGACCCATGCTAAACATATATGATCAGCTGAAACAAGAATGCAGGAAGCTATAAATACATCGAGAAATGGAAAATGAGGAGTCACAATAAACCAGACCAAAACCGTCTCTACTCTTTTCTCTTTTTTCTACAAAGCTAGAATAAGTTGATCTGTACCTAGAAGGCAACATCCTTTCAAAAGAGGACAATGCTACATATCTTGAGTAAAATTCAACACAAGACTAACCTGGGGTCCCCACATTGAATGCACCCAAAGGAAAGCTACCCTGTGGCTCAGATTATTAAGAAACTTACTGGAACAAGCTGTGGAGCAGATGCCAATACAGTATACCAAGTATACATAGGATACGTACGACCAGAGCTGGAATGTGGCCTGGGAGCATACTCCACTGCAGCCAAATCAAATCTAAACTGCACAAAATATAGAACACTGCTCTCAGAATCATCACTGGAGGTATGAGAAGCATACCAGTCAATGAGCTGGAGGCAACTTCTGAACTCCAGAGTTTTAGCCATCGAAGGCAAGAAAAGTTGCTTACCCTAATTGAAGAATGTAAACGCACGAACAACAACCCAATGTACAGAATAACAAACAAATTAAATAAAAAACCGACTGAAAAGACGAAGCTTTCACCATCTATTGTTCTCAGCCAAAAACAAGTGATATCCTTTTTAAAGACTCTTCAACGTGGGAAATTATCCATGGATACTACATAGACTTACAGCCTAACTATACAGTCACAACAACAACCCCAGTCATAGACAGAAAGGCTGAAGAATGTGAACTAGTGGTGCGTGCAAACACCCTTGAACATGTCTACAACCGTTATCCAAAACAGGAATAGACATAGGCATACACCGATGGATCATTATTGGGGGTGGGGGGGGGGGGGCATCTGAAAACGGAGAAGCTGGATCGGTCATCATGTTGCCAGATAGGACCACACAAAAAAGGGCGAGTGCCCCCGGAAAGCTCTCAATAAACTTCAGAGTAGCAAGCAATTACTGATGCAACCAAAGAGCTTGGAAAATATTTAAAAAAATACCCGACCATGACATCATACGAGCGATAAACATCCGGTGACACAAAGTGCTACCATACGGATGATGATCACCAGTGGAGAGGTCCCCAGAAACCCCTTTCGGCCGCTTAAGCCATATTTATGGCCCGGCTATATTCAGGACCCCCGGCAAAAGCCAGGGTGGGGTTTCTAATAATAAAAATTGCATCACACATGGGGACGACTACGAGGATACATGTAATCTCTCCCTCTTTCTCTCTCTCTCTCTCTCTCTCTCTCTCTCTCTCTCTCTCTCTCTCTCTCTCTCTCTCTCTCTCTCTCTCTCTCTCTCTCTCTCTCTCTCATATTCTTGCCATGAAATACATTTGTCATGCATATTTTTTAAGGTGGCACAATCTGACAATTGACCATCGCCGTGACGTTATCGCCTTTTACTTGGACGGAAGACCGTCAGTGAAGAGAATAACTAGAGGGGACATCTACCTCAGCCTTGACCCTTACATCTACATCGGCGGAGGAGACAACTTTGTACAAACTAAAGGTAAGTTATCACTACTGCATTACGGTTACCTTTAGGGGAAGTCATAGACTGTCCTCCCCTTTAAAAATTTAGGGACCCTTATCCACACCTTTCGGGCGTATTGGGCAAATGTGGTTAGACGTTTGAGGTTTGAGGTCTGAACAACGGATCAACATCATGGCACACGAGTAGTAACCCTAAGTGCTCGGTTCTTCTTCTAACTCAAGTCTGGGTCTGAAGAAGCTAAGCATCGTGCACAGGCTCTGTAGCACCGGCGAGGATCCTGAAATACTTTAGGCAGATTTTTTTTTTAACTTGCCCTGGCAGCGCCGTTAGGCTACTCTTTTCGATTTCCAACTGCCAAGGGATTTACTTACGTGCGCAACAATGCACACGGGCGTCCGATCTCACTATCCAGAGACCAGAGGGAAATACTAAAAGTCCAAGTCTACTTAGCGGGAATTGAACCCGGAACCTCTAGCACCCGAGGCGAACACCATGCCTCGAGACCACGCAGCACCCACATAGGGTTAGACCTATATTTCTATCGACCGATCGGCACTTGGTGGATGGTGTGGTCAGCATCACGCCGACCGCCTCTACCTCCCAGAACACTACCTGGTACCCACTCAAGGCTGGGTCGACCTGTGAGCCAAAGTCATTTTCGAAAAAACTCCGGCTCCGTCAGTACCCGAACTCATGACCTTCCTATCCGCAGGCGAGCGTCTAGCCGCTACACCACGGCAACTCTCTACACCCCCCCCCCCCCCCCATTCGGGGCAGGAGAATGTATTTTTGCTGGAGAATTTGCTGTCAGGACAAAAATAAAATCCTAACCTTTACAGAAAGAGCGACAGCACCAACCACGCGGCCTCAAACCCTCAGGCTCAAAGAAACTTCTGCCTACATCGGGAAAGTAGTAAATACTAGCAGTAACGGCAGTTTTCCTCCCAGTAATAGGGGCTTTTGAGCTGAAATGCTATAGAAAGATTCTCAGAATATCTGGGACAAAGAAGTTGAGAAATACTGACATCTTAAAAGATCTGAACATCAAGGAAGATTGGCTAATTAATAAACAGCATGCTTTCTCGAAAACTGAAATATTTTGGTCATATCAAGCGCCATGACGGATTGGAAAAAATTATAGCCGAAGGCATGGTACCAGGAAGGAGGGGCAGGAGCCGACCGACACGAAGATGGGCGCAGGATATAAGTGACTCTTTGAATGTGAAAGTGCATGAGGCTGGAGAACTGGCGAGAGACCGAGTTTCTTTCAGGCAGATTGTGATGAGAGCGACGTTCTGCAAAGGACCTGCTACATGATGATGATTCCTCCCAGTGGAGCACATGCCCTAAGCAGTTCACACTAAGTCGTCCTGTCCTTTGCCATCACCTGCAGCTGACCCCATGTTCACCTTACTGTTTTTCATGTCATTCTGGAATTCTTTTAATGTTTTTGTAAATTATATTTCTCCTCAGCTGCCATCATTCTTTTGATTGTTATTTCCAGTGCGAAGAAACTTAACTTAAATTATTATCAGGCTTTCTCTCTTCGGGTATTATCCACGCCAGCGTCTTCCCTCACCTTTTGACTCACTTGAGTGTGTTTATTTCTCTATCAAAACTATTGTGTCAAACAATTTAATTCCCTGCATTCTGAAATGACACCAGTGTGTGAATGTAACATTCCGTGTGCTGCATGCAACCCTTAGCTAAAACATTAATACCACCTTATACAAGGCATTTCTTGAGAAGTGACTAAGGGTATGGCTGTGTTTGTGGTTAACACTCTCATCCCGTAAACACTACAGCCAGAAAATCCAGTCAGAAAGAAGTCGAATAAAAAAAAAACAGAATCAGATATTCATATTCATCATCAAATTTCGCTTAAGTCTTTAAGGACGGATTGCTGGAACAGTTTGCTGGTCTAGCCTTGGATGGGACGTCTTTAAAGCCATCAGTCTATGGTGTAGCAAAAACCTACCAAAATATGAACAAATCATCACCCAAGCTACCCGAGAAGCGCAAGACAAATACAGAAAACCGCGACACTGGGCCTCAACCTGATATCAGTGAGACGACAAAAGAAGTAGAAAAAGACGAAGAAGAACAAGAAGAAGAATCTATTCTATCCCTTGGCGCCAATTTGCACTCACTAAACGGCCATTACCCAAGCACCCGTGTGGATCCAGTTATAATAGTTGTAATGAATCGCTCCTTGTCGCTTAGCATTTATTATTATTTTTTTCCTGAGTTTTTCTGATATTCGTTTCAAACATTCTGCTTTGACTTTGCAGGCACTGCAATATTTTTATGTGACAATAAATACTGGATGGATGCACTTTAGTAAAAAGAATTATATAAAAACCAACATCATAACTATTTCTTATTGCATAACAGCAAAAATAATCAATGTATGCATGCAGTTGCAGACATTACCTGGTCATTATTTTTAATTGCCACCTCTTTCTGTGTCTGTCTAACCGGATGCTTTTCTCTGTTAGTACTTTTTAAAAAAGGACTGGAGCAAGGTTAAAACCTTGGCTTTCTGGAAACCTTTAATTATGTTGTCTGGTATTTTTGGAGTTGAACTCACCCGATCAGAATGTGTGCTTTTTGCTTTCGTCTTCTTGTGTCATCAAATTATTTATCGACTGAGTCTGTTTACTTCTGTGTTATTTATTAGTTTTCTGGGAAATATGAGGGAAAAGGGCGGCGAGGAGGAGGGGAACTGGTCATTTAACTTCATATGACCCGATGGTTAATATTTGAGGGTTGAAATTGTACATCAAACGGCATAGTATACTATGGAACACCTTTATCGTATCCTTTCCTACAATATACTCAAGTGAGCTGTAGTTAGTACGTCAAGTGTACTGATACTGCCTTGGATCCTCGCGTGGGTTCCGGGATCCATTATGGGAGAAACAAGAATAGACCCTCTGCCTCCCCAAGAAACATGTCGTAGGAGTCGACTAATTGGGGCCTCCTTCTACGTCGGAGTGCATCTGCCCGAGCAATAAGGAACAACCGACTGCACACAAATAAGCCAGTAAAACGGATGCACATGCGAAACTCAAGGCGTGGCACAAAGCCATAGTCCATATGGACGAACAAGAAGGATTTTCCGCGGGCGCTTACAGTCAGTAAACAACGAAGAAGAAGAATATAATGTCATGGATGATGGATGAATGGATTGATGGAGGGATTTGTGGATGATTGGAGAGATAATGAAACAGAGATAAGGAAAAGCAAGTAAAATAAATAGACAGTGCGAAAAAAAAAAAAAAAAAGCCGAAAAGGGGATGGAGATTTATATAATTTATCGAAGTCGCGTCTTTAGCCAAATTGAGATTAGGTTGGGGAAAGAAATTCAAAGCTTGGGTGAACATCAAGTGGTCACCTTTTAGTTCAGATAAAAACCAACAATTATGAAAGCTAACTTTAGATGAGCAAACCTGCCGCTAGAGGAAGAACAAATTCTGGAGATGCTGAAAGAGTTAATTTTCAGTCTAGAGTACGACAGGGATGTCTTTATAGCACATACCTTATTTCAACGAAAATAATACCGGGTCTTATAATAATTTTTGCTTCAAAAAATGAGCTAGGGCTTATTTTTGGTGGTCTTTTTTTTTTAGAAAAAAAAAAAAAAAATAATAATAAATTTATTTCTGTAGAAAATTCTACATTTTTTTCAGATAGTCATCTTCTTCAAAGGCTACGATAAATTGCTTCCAGCAAAATTATGCTATTTTATTTAATACGAGTAAAAGAACCCGTTTCTTCACACCAATTAACCTACCGTTTCTACTACAGTCTGTAGTTCTCAATATATTGGTATAGCAGGATAGCGGACATAGAAGCAGTGGTTATGAAAATAATGTTTGCTGACCATGTCTTTGTCTACAACTTGGAGCACAACTTAAAGAGATGAAGCCTTATTATTACTGGTTTTCGAAAACAAAGTCTGACGACAAATCTTTGGACCCATCAAAGATGCAAACAGCGGGAAATGGAGAGTGAGAAGCAACAAGGAGATTGATAATCTGTTTCAATCACCACTGATCAATGGCATCATGAGAGCTAATAGACTGAAATGACTGGGACATATTGAAAGAATGTCATATGACATAAAAGTCAAAACTGTTTACACAAGGAAGATGAATGGTCGCAGAGCCGCAGACTTTAGTAGCAAAAGGTAGGTTAAGCGGCATGAAGAAAACGGTTCTTTCATCAACCTAGATAAAGCAGCAGTATGTGTTCTTCATGTCAGCGTTTCTCAACCTTTTTATACCCGTGGCCCACCGAAACTAGAACAATAGTTTTGCTCTTCCCAGCACTCATCTTTCATACTGCAGTTGTATTTTATCTTTAAAACATGGTATGTTCATGTAACAATATAAATCTACGAGTACCAAGTAAAACGAACAAAAACATGCAGGGTAAATACATACATTCAAATATACCTGCAAACCCTTCCTCAACCGCAAGTGTGGTAAACAGAGGCAGTAATAGCAGTCTATTTTTCCTCGGTATATTTGCAGCAGTCCCACGAAGCCGTATGAGAATGTTGTCTGTCATCATATTATGAGTGCCGAGTCTCCTTCAGACTTCTACATACACCCACCTTTCAGGGCGACGCCCCCGTAGTCTTGTTCTAATTTAGAGAAGCAAACAAAACAACACATACCTGTCTGAACTATTTCACATCACAGTCGACCTGTTGGCGGTGGGGGATGAGGGGGGGGGGGGGACGGGCACCACGACCAAATTGTTGTTTGGAGTGCCTTTCCCCCGTAAAATCCTAAAGGCTATGTTTGAGTGCACAATAACAATAATAGCATATACTGAATGACAAATAAATATAATAATATATTTGAAATAATATGAAGGGTACAAAGAAATTGAAATGTTTAAAAAAGATACGGTTCAAATATTGTTAGTCTCCTTGCAAATTATCGGGTGATGATGTTTCGGGGTTCGGGGTGGGGGGTTGTGATGGAGGGTGAGGTGGCAATGGG